TGATTATATATATAATGAGAGTAATGAGTAAATGTGTTAGATGTTTCGTGACTTGAGTTAGAAATTATTTATCGGAGGTTTAATACTTTTTTATTTTAAAAACATTAATTAATGATTTATATATATATTGAAATGAATCTTAATATTTTCTAATTTTATTATTAATCCAATTTAGATTTTATATTTGATTTTTAGTCTCTCAGTAAAAGGATTCTTGGGACACCCTGTATTATGCAATAAATGGTGTGTCATAATTTTTAGAAGAAACATTGCTTCGTTATATTTACCTCTTTCTCTATCTCGAACTTTCTTTAATTTCAATTTGAAAGGTCACGAACGGGATTTTCGCGAGAGCTAGTAATACGCGTGTGTGTGTATATATATAATTATACAGATAGGTATAAACACACACAGATATGTATGTAAGTTGCATGTAAATCGGTCGAGCTGACGGACGGGTGAAGGCCGTTTCATAGTGAAAGGCAAACCGTCAGCTTCATTCGTTAATATAATACCATCAAAACACCATGGCGAATCAACGATACGGAAAAAAAGGTACGGGATCATCATCGTTGTTTAACGTGTTCGTTAACTTCCTATAACAACATTCATTTCCGGAGTGTTTTTCCTATTGCAGTTGTTTTCGTAACCCCCTTCGATTAATTGGCAAATGGAATCCTTTTGTTTCGAATTTTCTTTTATTGTCAGCCATGCTTGTGTGATTTTGACTCATCTACTCTATTGTTAATCATTAATTTCATAATTATCCTCCAAGTTATCTCATTTAACACTGATATTTTGCGTTAACCTGGTTTTAATGCACAACGAAAATATTCTGCAATCGGTCAACCTGATTGTATTTGAAATTGATTTCGATTTGAAATAAAATGATGGTGGAATGGAGATAGAAAATATTTCATAAATTATTCGACGAATTAGTTAAACGATGTTTTTTTGTTTTTTGGAAAGTATAGAGTTGATTAAAGGTTTCTAAGTGTGATTTAAAAACAATTAATTTGTTTTTTTTTTTAATTTTTAGACTAACTTCTTTAAGATTGTGAAAGAATATAAATCTAATAAGAAACTTAAAAAGGGGAGTGATTGATTTTTATAAATTCATTAGGAATTTTAGTAATTATTCTAACATTCATCTCTTCATTTATTTATATTTCTAATTTGTGTAATGAATCTCATTCGTTCGTAATTTTACAACTTTCTATTTGATAATTTTAATATCTATGAGAAACAATTGAAATTGTAAGAGTAGAATTGTAAAGAAAATATTTATCTTAAAGATCACGTCAATGAGATAAATGGTTGAAATTGTTTCGTGCGTCTAACGTTTGCGCGTCAGAATTTTAGTTAAAATTATTTCTGCATATCGTGCGTCAAGTTTCATGTGTCGTTGCTAGAACTTATGTTCACTGTATATATTCGTTATTATTGTTTTTGTTTTTATTCTACCTGCTGCCACCCCTCCCAACAAATTTTCAAGACGTTGCAACCAACAGTAACAACAAACAAAATAACATTTGTGTATTGTTAACTTTTCGTGGGATGTTTAATACAGGAAGCCGCCTATGTATTCGTCAAGGAGGCAAATTCGAGAAGTCTGTGTTCGTTAAAACGCGAACGAATATTGGCGGTTGGCGACCCACGTTCACTTTCATCGGAGATAATAGCGGAAGGAGTTGAGTGTTCCCGTAAATTTAACGAAGCGACCATTTTCTTTTTATGTCTCTAACATCAATACGATGAGTACAAAAATAATACTTAAGTTGTTTTTACTAGTTTTCTTATTTTACATTTTTAATTATATTCACGCTATCGTTTAAAATTATTTTTGATCAAGTAGAACAATTATAAAATGTTTAGAATAAATATAAATGAAATAAATTGCTAGCTATTTATTTTCATGCTAAAATCAACAAACATGTATCGATTTTATTAGAAACAATTTACCGCAAAATGGATACAAAATTTATAGAATTATTAGAAAATATTTCAATTTTATCGAAGCTTCATTGAAATAGCCATTAGTCAACTTTTTATATTATTTTGTGAATGATGGTAAAATCATTTTAACTAGTAGTGTATATTATATTACGATTTATAAAAATGAAAAAAAAATTGATTTTATCATTTTCTTCTTCTTCTTCTTTTTATTAGGACTTTTCAACCCCATACCGCGTTGAAAGTACTAGTTCTCTGTCATTTATTTTATAATATAAATAATTGTAATATAAAATAAGTCATGAAATCAAATTTGTTATTTTTCTATTCATAATTTCGAAATGAATTCAAACGTATTTACATGACGTTTGTAAAAATAAACGTTAAGGTATATTCAATATTAATTTTATACGAGTACGTACATATATCATAGTTAAAAAATAAATAAATATAAATGTACAGATAAATGACGAGTTTACTTTCATATAAATGATAGGTTAATACTAAAGTAAAAAAAAAAATATTGTTGAACTTTTGATCAAAAGTCAATAATCACATAAGATTTTATATAAGATGTTAAACGAATGAATCAAATCAGCTGATGTAAATCAGTAGGAAGAACAATTGACGATTCTTATTTCATTCACTTAACATTCAATGAGAATAAAATCGTGAAGAAGAAGAAGAAGAAGTCAGTAGGATTCTTTTTAAACTTTTAAAACAATCATACCTAGTGTATTTTTAATTCCATTTAAAATATGTTTTAAAGTGTATAATTCAGTTAATTCACGAAAGCAGTATTAAGTAGTATTTAAATACTTATTCAATTACTTTCAAATTGCTATCGAATTTCAAATCGATAATCGGTCATTAATCGGATTACACATGCAATCAAGTATGTAAAAATATTCATGCCTTAGGATCAAAAACATGAGTAACGATCTTGAAATGTAAATTCAAGTGACTCAAAGAAATAATATTTACACAAACATGTATATATTTTTTTTTTTTTTTAGAAATATTTCTATCGAGCGTTAGCCTCGATGATGCTGACTAGTTTGATGTAAGTGTAAACGTAAGTAATATGTAATCTGTCTGTGCGTTGCGCACACACATATAAGTGTTCAATAGTAAAAATGTATTTTCTCTGATTGATAAGTGTCTCTTGACCAGTAATTAATTACATACTGACAATTGATAATAGATAGTGCAAACTAACAATTAAACAAAAAAAAATAAGGAACTCGCGATGAAATGTTTGCTTTACATTCTCGTGACGGTCATGAGTATCTCGATTAATTAATTAATAGTAAAGTTCTGATTTAAACAGGAATTTATTTTCATGTGTAATTAATATATATATATTAATTATTATATTATTCGATATATATATATATATATTATTTTAGTAATAATAAATAAAGTAATATAAAAAAGAATAAAT